AAAACAATTTCGGACCAGTCCCAAAGTTAAGAATGCTTTTTTTTTTTTGGGGGGGGGGAGGAAGTTATGTTGCTTCTACATTGACAGGAAACTGGCATATGATCGATCATTCACAAGTCTAAGCAATCATCAGACGTCTATAACAATTCGCGTACAGCCTAAGGTGTATAGATTTCTAAAAAAAATGTCATATCACGTGTCTTGAAACCCATATACAAAAATCTTGTATACATTGGGCCTGAACTCCTCGTGACCTTTGTAAGAGCCATTTTTCGGAACACTAGCAGTTTCAGAAACTTTTATTCTTGGGTAAAAAATTTCACAAACTTTAGCTGACCTAACCTTAGAACCTTCTACTAAAGCAGCATTCACAAACTATAATCTGCAACTGCAAACAATTTGGGCAGTATAATTGCCTTGAAGGCAGTACGTTTCTTTTCTTTCATTTTGGGGGAAAAAACCTTTAACTGCAGTTCGCAAAAAAATTATAATGTTCATACACAAGGACATAGCAAAATTTTAGTAATTTAAACAAGAGTATTGGTATTCAGTGTCATATTTCCAAATCACATAGGCCATAGGAGCGAAAAAAATGGCCAAGCTGCAATTAATGTAGGCTCTACAGTTAGAGCAAGGTGTAATTGGAGTTTTCCAGTGTGGATCACTAAAAACCAATGCATGGGGTAGGAATTATAATAATTTAAGGGTAGGTTTGTAGAAAATTTAGGGTTATCGCAATTTCACAGTATACACAGACAGCCTCAATGGCGAAGATGAAAGATAAATTATGAATAGAACTAGTTAAAGGCTCCAGTAAAGTAGTGATTGTAACAAACCCTTAAACTAGAGAAAGTCATATATGGCCTTTGTTACAGGTAAATATGGATTACTCTGTTGTTTTCTGATACCTCTTCGTACATAACATGGAAGGCATATTTCATGGCTGATTCAACATCCAATCCAAAAACCTACATGATCACAGAACTATCAGACTGATTTAATCAATAAACCCACGTATGGACGATAAAAAAGGAAAAACATGTCGAAACAGAAATAGACAGAAGAAGGCATTCAAACCTTGCCTGAATTTGGAATCAACTCATATGTCGTATAAGACGACAGATGCCTAAATAACCGATGGCGAGATACATCTATCTCATTATCTGATGGTCGCGGCACTGGTTCAGGAAGTGGGCCATTTGATGATGAAGACTGACAAAGACACAAGTATATAATCCAAATACATGAGTCCAGCATAAAAAAACTATTATACTACACAAGCAAAGTGCTACAAGGTGATAATACAAATAAGAAATAACTCAAAGTAACTGTCAACACTGACTGCATGCTTCATAATCCTAACATTATCCAAGTTCATAGTTGGTTGGAAAGATTCAGCAGGTAAGGTTGAAGGGATGAGCTCCAATACCTTAACAAGAATAATGTTGTTAATAGTTCCATACTCATCCTGAATACAACACCCTTGATCTGAATCGTTGAATCGCCATACGCCATCAACCAAGAATCTGTACTGCATTACATATTTGGTGCCAACTAATCACAATGATGTAGTACTATACAATAAATAAGAGTGATATTTCTTCTATATCCAAGCCATCAAGACCAATACAGCTAACATTCTAATCGACAACTATGATTTAATAGCAGGGTAAGGATACTTAGCCGGGAAAATACAAAAATAAAAACTACATAAAAAACAATTGCAACAAAATTACGAAACATAGATGTAAAGCCAGAAGGTCATTAAATGGTGATCTCAAAGAATACTCATGTACATGTACATGTACATGCACATGCCATGCACATGCACCCACTTACGTCTATGGGATATGTAAAGGTAAACAAAAAACAGTGCATGTAATAGCATGCTAGCAAGCTGGCGACCATGATTAAGCAACACACACAAAATTGGTAAATCAACACAAGTATAAAAGTAAAAACAATAACCGCAACCATGTGCGTGTCTCTTCTCAAGTAAGATAAAAAAGGAATAAGGCAACATGTGTTGCACGAAACCGCATCCTACTAAAGTACTAAAAGAGCCATCTTTCTCCAATTTAATGCATGCGTTACAATACTTTCTGACAAAATGGCATGCGTTACAATACTTTCTGACAAAATAGCATGCGTTACGAGAATGAATTGTTGAAAAGTCCACTTTCTTCTTCCCTTGACCTCATTACAAACTGATGTGTAATTGACCTATTTTACAATGCAGAAAAGAGATCCAAAAGGTAATACAAAGAACTTCTTTTTCCCCACATAAGAAGCATTCTACAAAGCTACTCGCGATGTAGAAATGCATACTCTACCCCTCTTGTTTAAAATCACATTAACATGTAGCAAACACACATCCTATACCTACACTAATGTGGTGTAAAGAGTAATACATGGACTAAACAATAGTAAATTGCATGTGTTAAACATTTGTTAAGAAGCACACTATGCTATTAAGGCAAAAAAATTTGATGGTTGATTTGAAATCATAGAACCTATTACCCAAGATTTTAATTACAACTAAGGAGAAATATTCAAAATCTCTTTTCTTTCCTTTCTTTATCGGCGGGCCAAGCAACCCAATGAAGGTAGCTACCACAACCCATAATAAGACCCTGCTCCTTCAACCAGAAACAAAGGATGAGATACCATTCAAGCTAGAAGGCTGGGGATAAATTTCAAGGTATATCACTCAGCAGCCATTTTTCTTCTTTATATCAGTATTCAGCCATTTGCATAGACTCGTCTAAAATCTGCCACACTCAAATCAATATGAATTGCATGTATATTGAACAATAAAACAAAGATATGAACCGCTGGACAAAATCGAATGGAACTGCATCATTAATACTCCTAATAAAACTTTCGAAACAAACATTGCACTCAATTAAGATCTTAACACTCAACATGCATTAAAATTCACTTAAAAGGTTCTTAATAACAATGGAATTCTTTCTATCTACTTTCCTTATCCTAATGGGCTCCAAATTTGAAGCTTTAATGAGATTATTGAAGCCAATCAAAACTAATTTTACCCAGGAAATTAGTATTTACCAACTGAAATTGATTCTCATCTCAAGTCCAGGTTTGATGGTAGTTTTCTATCAATTTCACAACCATCCCAAACAATTTAGTGGTTGATCATCTGATACAGAGATAAAAGGAATGAGGGGCCATGTTGATTATACCTGGTGATAACCCAGAGGAAGATCACAAATTATCTGGAAAACCATGGAGGAACCCTCCAGCAAAATCATAGGTATCTCAGTCCACCTTCACATATAACATCATTATCTTAATCAACACAAATACATACCTCTGCACAAAGAGAAACAACAAGGTTGACAAACACAACATACCCACTAAACGAACCGCAGAGAGAAACCTGGTGACCACCATATCGCCATTCGAACAGTGTGTGCACCATTGTAGCTGACAATCGCAATTGCAACTCTCACCCCCACTCCAAACCACAAACTCACTATAGATATATATAGGTGTGTGCCGATATATACACGTACAGTTGTTTGTATATATCCCAAACCAACAAAAAAAAAAAAAAGGAAGGAAAGAAAGAAAGAAATTGCCAAATTGGAAAGCTGTTGCCAACGATATCAAATCTTACGAAATCCGTCGGAAAAAACAATGAAATCAGGAAAAAGATTAAAATTTTCCAAGAAAAGTCTTAAGAATATAAATGATTCGCCTTGCTTTCTCCGGATGAGAAGCCAGAGGGAAGAAAGGAAATTGTATTTAAAGAAGTGTAAAAGGAAGAGAGAGAGAGAGAAGTGGGTAAGCAGAGAAGTATGCAATCTCTACATATAGATACGCTTTCTATATAGTGTTACAGTGAGAGATTCTGTTTTGGTTACTTTCTTAATGAGTTTATTTATGATGACAGAGAAATTTGGTCTTGACTTTTATCTGCTGACCCATTAACCATGGTTCCAAATTGTGTTTAAATTTTAATCTTAATTGGGGATAGTATAAATAATAATCGAGACTGGATCTAAAATAAATAAATAAATAATTGAAACAGGCTGCAAAATCAAACATATTAAATTTAAATTTTAACAAATTTTTAGAATCAGATTGTATGAATATCTTTATCCGTGGATAATCCATTTTTGATCAAACCGAAGAATAAATTAATTGAAGTGTATATTTATTGATTCAAACACCCCTTTCCGTCAAAAAAAAAAAAAAAAATTTGCTGAATTTGTATTTGTATTTGAATTCGGTGATTGGTTTGACATGATGGCAACCAGAATAACCATGGTGTGGCCCACCTAAGCCAGGGCAAAAAATTCAGTGGGCCACATCTGACCCGAATGTTTGGTGACCCACCGGTCCCTGGACTGATCCAACAAGGAGGGGCTGTGGTTTTTAATCCACAACATGCTATCAAATTAGTTTAATTACAACTCAAAAAAGACGATACAACTTAATAAAACCTCTAAAACACAAAGAATACGAGAAAAAAAAATAGATCAACTTGGAAACATTCATAAATTGAAAAAAAATAGACCCATTTGGATCTGTTTGATGAAATAGATGGATCTGTTCATTGGGTAACCCAGGCCTTTTAGGAGGGAGGAATCATCAAGAATGACCAAGGCCGTTGGTTAATTTGATTTTATGGAAGATTGAAGGACACTATAAGCATTCAAGCCGAACTCTAAGCCATACTTAGAGGAATGGTAGTAATACAAAGCAGGAGGATCAGCCACATGGTAGTAATGACGAACTCACTAGAGACAGAAAGACTCCTCAATAGCCCCCAAGAAAATATCAACCCAAACATTACCTTCATCGCAAGTTGCAAACCGTTAATAAATTTTTGACAGACTTAACATGTTTAATAATTTAAAAGTTTGAAGTATTAATCAAAGTAATAATCTCACTTGATTTAACCTTAGGGAATCATAGAGGTACTCGAATTCGAAATTCAAATAATTTGGTAGTTGAATTCAGACCAAGGTTGGATTAAAAAAAAACAGAATTTAGATTAAGGTTGATGTGGCTCCACTTCAGCTTGTACCATCTATAATGACCCTTTGTTTTGCCAGAGCCGCACGGTCGCATGAGGGTCAGAGCATAAGACAAGACATGTACTATATGTTTCTTTGCTACACCTCGTACTGCAAAAGTACAAAACACAAATGACAAACAATTCCATCTCATCGCATATTGAAAACCTTACTCTCTTTCACACAAGCTCATAAGGGAACATTACTCTGTTTGGTACTTGAGATTAAGAAGCTGGTTCCACTTCAGATCCTCCTAGGACCTGGTCGTCTCATCTCAATCTTTCTATTTCATTAATTCTTTGGTAAGTTGATGCCAATAGCACAGGTCAAATTTATAGTATTTGTTTTTTTTTTTTTTTTATAAATGATAATTATGTGTTTATCAAGACCAAACCAACGTCGGTATGACCTATATCACACAGAGCAGAAATGGGGGCAAGAACGAGAGCACCAAAACTTCAACATTCCAAAAAAAAATTGAAATTAAAAGCGAAAGCATCTTAAGAGCGTCATATTATATATAATTACATACACATTCACCCATAACAGTTTAATATAAATAAAATATAAAAAAAAAATTCATGCACAATTATAAGAAAAACTATATAATTTTTAAATTTATATTGATTATAAAGTCCTAAAATACAAATTATAGTTTACAAACATTATTCTAGTTTGATATGTATCTTTAGGTCTCGGTCAATAATTCCCAAATAAAAATTTAAGTAATAATACGTAAGCATATAAGTTTGTAAGAGCACGAATTAATTGAATTCGCAAATTAAAAAATTAAATTAACAAATTTTATAAAATAAAAGCACGAATTCACAGAGAATTTGTTCTTAGAGCACAAATGCGCTCGTGGAGCGCTAAACTGTTATGAGTTTAGAAGAATTATGTAACTAAAGGTGTGACACTAGAAGAAAAATAGTGGGTTATAATCTATATAGACACCCAACCACAATGTTTTATTATATCCAATAGCTACAAACTGAAATTTCACTTTTTTCTTGATTTTAAGAAAAAAAAAAAGCATGATTTTTTTACACCTTCAAATATTAAATTAATTTTTCATATTATACCTTTAATATATCAAAAGTGTTACAATGTGATTCTACTGTTAACTTTTGTTATTCTTTTCAGTCAAAAATTAACTCATTGACACAAATAAAAAAACTAAAAAAGTTAACATAAGAGTCACATTGTAACACTTTTGATACATTACGAGTATAATATGATAAATTTAATTTTTGAGAGTATAAAATGAGAATCTTAAAATCTTTCATGGTGAAAAATATAATTCATCCTTGTATTGATAATGAACTCTATGTAATACTTAAATCTATTGTTAAACCAATAGTAACACTCAATTGAATCAGTATTTGATACTTAAATCCAATGTTATCAGGACCGGTCATCGAACCGGCAAAAAGACCGGGTCAATAGTTCACTGGTTCAACTGTTGGGTCAACTGGTCGAACCGGTCATATAATAAAAAAATAAAAATATATATATAATAATTATAAAACTTAATAATTTAGCTAAAAAATATAAAATATGTATAAAATACATAAAATTTGCCATAAAATTAATGAAATTAAGTAACAAAGTGAGGGTTATTGTATTTTAAAGCAAAGTAAAGAGGTTCAAGTAAATTATAAAGAAAAAGAAGGGGTGTCATTTATAATTTTTCCAAGAATAAGGTTAAAAAAAATAAACTATTTACTGATTTAGGACAAAAAAATTTATTTATGTAATTTAATTTTTAAAAACCGATTTTTGTTAAAAATTGACCGATTTTTTGGTTTTTAGTCGGTTCGCTTTCTTAAACGATTCAACTAAGGAACCGGACCGGTTAAGGTCCCGATTCACGGTTGAACCGGTCCGGTTCCGATAACAGTGCTTAAATCTATTGTTGCATTCCTTCACAAAAAGATATTTAGCTTAGGAAAGATGAGGTGTTGCTTAAAGGGGCATTCACATAGCGTGTATCATTTACCTTCATGACGAGTGTCTTCCACATGCGCCGCTGATGCTGTTCTCGGTGTCCCTCCAATCCATCTGTCCTTTACATAAAACACAAACATATAAATAAACTTAACCGGAAGCAAAACAAGGAAGAAGCTATAGGAATAGCATTTGGTCAGTGCTCACGTGATTACTCTCGACTCTTAATACCCTTTTCTTGATTCCCAAACATGGCTTTCAGGTCACTGGTGAGTCGTTTTCCAAATTAAATCTTCACCTAAACATGCCTAGGCGTGGTATGTTTTAATGTGCAATCTTCTTCATCTTATATGCATATTTGACTTCCTTCCCTACTCTATGCTTCTCACTACTGATTCGTATGGAATTATCATGTTTGATACTGCAGAATTACTGGAAATCCATTGTCAGTCGTTTAAGAGGAAGCTCTCCTTTTGCCACGTCGACATCACAGACAAAGGAGGCCTATGCCCCTGCGGGCGATTCAGGAGTGTATGAATACATCAAGCTGCCATGGTAAGAACTATAACTTCAGCCATTGAAATCTGTTGAAAGCATTTTAAAATGCAAAATGGGTCCTTAAATGATACCTTGTCGATCAGTTCATGAGGATTTTCTTGTGACAAATTATACCTTGTTCTTAAACTATCAACTTTTCTCATATTGTTTGAGTTTCACATCGTCTCACTCTTTGATTTTTAGTCCAGTCCTATCTAAGCTAATTCCGAATAGCTCGTCTAGGTGTAATTTGATCTTTTTCCTTTGTTTCGAAAAACTCTTTGAGAACTAGAAATTAGCTACATTGTGGAAAAATTGTCTTGTGATGCATAATTGGTACCTTTCCTTGAGTGTATAAAAACAGGGCGGTGAGGGGAGATTTTGTGCCGGTGTATGTGGCGGTGGGGTTGATAATGATGTCGATGAGTTTCGGGCTTCACATAGGAATGCTACAACTGAGGTACGCCCCAGGCGTGTTCGTGAAGAAGTCGAGGAGAGAGACTCTGCCGGAGGTGGTGGAGCCTGAAACTGTGGTGGATGAAGCTCTCAAATTCATCACCAAGTCTTTCTTTCGAAGAGTGGCCCATGTACAGGAGTTACACCGTCAATATGTCATGACTGATCCCACCCGTGGAGATCTCTTTGCCAGGTGATTGTTTTCACTGTGTGCATCCTATTCGGAAGTACTATCCGCCATGTGACAGTGAAAGAACCTGAAATTAACGTAATAATAGTGAGATTGCAGTAAATGGGTAGACATGTAGGTTAAATTTTTAGGTCTCAATAGCATTGCTCGTATGACACGATACAATATAAATCTGACTAAAGATATCACCTGAAATTAACGTAATAACAGTGAGATTGCCGTAAATGGGTAGGCATGTATGACACGATACGTTGATTGGTCTAAGTTCTTCAACCTGAACAATGGTCTTGGTTTCTAAACGGTTTTGCTGATGTCGGTTTTGTTGTCTCAACTGTTAAATGACAGATTGCAGCCGCGAGCAGAGACATTGAAGTCAGTTGGAGTTGATCCGAAGCTTAACTAAATATGACCCAGCTTTTAGGGACTGTCCTTTGTTTGCTCGACTGTAATGTGACATAGGACACTGGATACAAGATTGTAAACTTTGATGTATCCCAGATTGTAAACTTTGATGTATCGTAAAACTGGAAATTCCTAACCAAGTTAATTCATAATCCTAGTGTAATGTTTTGGTTGGTTGGTTTCATTACTAACGCATGTTAGCTTAAATGACGAGCACTAAAGATCAAAGGAACTCGGGGAGTACCTGTATGCTTTATTTGCCTGATTAAGCGGACTCATGGTTTTATGACCCAATACTGGTGTAGCAATCAAGAAGGTTGTAGTAGCTTTTGGAGACCACTTAAGCTTCACAGACAGGTCAAATTGAGGAGCTTGTTGTGGAGATAGGTTTCAGTTCGTGAACCGAATGTTTTACCGGAAGGGATAAATTGTTAGAATTCTATGAAACAGTCTCGGGAGTCGGAATGTATGCCGGTTTCATAAGACCCTGTGGAGTGGCACAAGATTTGCCTCTTGGCTTATGTCGAGATATTGATTCTTCCACACAACAATTTACTTCTCGGCCAAATGGAACATAGGGAGACCAGCATCAAGGCTGCTGCAGTTTCTCATTCCTTTGGGACAGATCAGATCTTGCAATGTGAACAACAATTTCAGTTTGAGAGACTCCTTACTGAGGATCAGTAGCTAGGATTAATTTGAATAGTCACGGCGGGGGATTAAGTCGGATAAAATCGATAAGGTTGTGCTGAAGCCCAGGTCAGGATGGAGACAATTTGAGCTTAAGGAAGAGAAGTTTACTTGGAATTAGCCTCAAACATTGTCTTTGGAATGAACAGTGTGATGCTGGCCATATTTGTCCCAGAGCATCACATATTTATCTCATTTATCAACATCCGTGCTGCTGTCAAACTTCCTATCTTTTCCCCGATCCGGAGCTTCCAAGTGACATATCTTAGTATTCACCTTGATTCCCATGAAGGTCTAAGCATCAAGTTACGGAATTTGGTTGGTGCTGTCTAATGGTACCTTCTTGGACCGCCATGAGTTTACAATTTGTTCACGTCACATTGGCATAAAACGAAAGGCAGACACTTGCATAGTTGCATTCAATATTGTCCAATAAACAAGAAATAAAACCCATATGCGTATAGCCTTCAGTTTCTCCTTGCCGCCTCATCTCATGATTCAATTCTGACTACAACAACTCCAACATTGACATCTAACCTTATTCGAGTTTGCTGATCATTGACTTTCTATGGAAGCTGATGTTTCTAGTTTGATCTACTCATAAAGTCATAAGAACCATCTTTGATTGTCATTCAATTTAGCCAAGTCACTCACATTACAGCTAACAATCCAAGATATCTGGGTCAAACACTTCAGATCGCAGAACTTTATTAATCCCCAAAATTGATTCTCTTATGACTTCTATCTGACAACGGGAATCATCAGCAACCAAAAATTCATGAACTATACCATCTATTTCAATAAAAGAGCAACCTGGCTGCTTCTGGATACCCTGAACAGCCATACCTTTCCTTACCCTCTTCACATCGCTCCACCTTGAGGCAGAGGCATAAACATTGGACAATAGAACATGTGCCCCACATCTTTCTAGTTCCGATTCCTCTATTTTGTTGGCAGCAAATTCTGCCAATTCCAAATTCCCATGGCTTCTACAAGCAAAAAGCAGGGATCTCCACATTATAATGTCAGGCTCAAGGGGCAGTGACCTGATAAACTTCTCAGCCTCGACCAAAAGGTTTGCACGACCAAGAACATCAACCATACACCCGTAGTGTTCAATGCGAGGGGTAAGATTATAGCGTTGAGCCATTGTTTCCAAGTAGTAAAACCCCTCATCCACTAATCCGCCATGACTACAGGCAGATAAGACCCCAAGAAATGTTACCTCATTTGGCCTAATTTCACTTAAGATTTCCATTTGTGAAAACAATTGCAATGCTTTGACAGACTGTCCATTCATGGCAAGCCCAGAAATCATTGCACTCCATGAATAAACATCTCTACGCATCAACCCATGAAAAATCTCAACAGCTTTTTCAATATCGCCACACTTAGAATACATGTCAATCAAAGCATTCTTTACCGTAAGGTTTTGCTCAATGCCGTTCCTTTCGCAATAGCTATGCACCCACCTCCCCTGATCTAATGCTCCCGAATGCCCGCATGCAGAAACAACACAAGCAACGGTTGCAGAATCTGCTTGAACACCAACAACCTGCATGTCCCTGAACAACTCTATCGCTTCCTTAAATAAATCCAACTGAACATAGCCAGCTATCATTGATGTCCAACATACTATATTTCTATCTGTAATTCTGTCAAAAACCTTTTGAGCATCCTCTAATCGCCCACATTTTGCGTACATATCAATCAAAGAAGAACCCAAAAACACATCAACAACAAACCCACTAACCACACTTAACCCATGAATTTTCCTCCCCAAATCAAGCAATCCAATCCTTGCACATGCCGTTATAGCACTCACTAAAGTCACCTCATTAGGGCTTACATTGCTATCACACAACAATTCCCCAAACAGCTTCAATGCTTTTTCACAAGAATCACTCTGTAAATATCCAGAAATCATACTATTCCAAGTCACCACATCCCGAATCCAGCCCGGAACCAAATCAAACACTCTACTACCAAACTCAACAAACCCACATTGAAAATACATTGAAATTAGCGCGTTTTGAACGAAAATATCGAACTCAAGCCCCATTTTCACACTCAAACAATGAATTTCTAGGCCTTTTTCAAGACCCAATACTCGCCCGCAAGCTTTAAGCACAAAAGGGAAAACATATTTACCGGGACAATGTTTTTTCGCCGCATGAGATTGTATAGAACAATTGCTTCTTCTGGAACCGAGCTCTGAGAGAAGGCTCGGAGGATGAAACTCCAGGCAAAGATATTAGGGTTTTGAATCTGGAAGAAGAGGGTGTGCGAGAATTCGAGTGAAAAATTGGAATTAGAAAGGGAGTGGTGGAGGAGTTTGCTGGACACAAATGGGTCTGTGAAGAGGGCTGAAGTGATGGCAAGAGAGAGAATTTGGTTGAAATGGTTGGGGTGTCTGTGGGTTTCCAATAGAGAGAGTGAAAAGTTGCTGTAGGTGGGAGAGAGAGGACCAGGGTATGAGAGGAGAGAGATTAGGGATTTTGGTTTGGGAGGTCTGAGAATGGATGGAAGGTGTTGCATTTGATTTGGGTGTGATTGTTTAGCTAAACATTAGACAATGGTGAGTTGGGTAATCCTGAAACTAAAGTCGTATCCAATGGTATTGAAACCTAGCTCTACGCAAGAGTGAGCGTTTGACGCATAAATTAAGTTTGTAAATCACCTGTCAAAAGATTAGTAATTAAAGCAGTAATTAAATAAAGAGAGATAATAATACAAGGATTTATAATAATTCGGTCAACGTGATCTATGTCCACTTTAAATGGCTAGAGTCGTCAAAATATTTTATTACTTCAAGATATGTAGTAAGAACATGATGATATAAGTTATGAATTAATCACCAAAATATAGCAATTTTTAAACAAAAAAACCAAAATATGGTATTTTTAAACTTATTTATCAAACTACGACACTTTTTAAAAACAGATTCAATAATTTCACTTTTGATCCCTTTTTTTAAAAAAAAATTAGACATTGGAGAAAACGTGTTTATTATACGATAGATAATTAATTTTAATAATAAGACTGTAAAGTGATAATACATATATATCAAGTGAGATAAAAAAAATAAGCTAAACTTTAGAATCCTAAATTTTTTAAAAGAGATACTAAAAATTTTATAACAATATAAGTTATACTTAATTTGAAGACTAAGTACATTAAATAAATAGTGAATTTTGTTTTAACTTAACACTCAATATTAATTCAATAATTAAAATATATTAAATATTTAAATTGTATTCTAAAATAATAATTATTTATTTTATTTTGAGGCCCAAAATTTTCTTTTAGTTTGAGGGCCCTACACAATGACTTAAGTCTCACCGTCTTTGCCACTTCTTTGCTTGCATTGTGGTTAGACCGGAACTTCTAAAGATCATTCCTGAATTTGGGTATAGTCTTAAAGGGTTCGGGTGGTTAATAGGTTAACCCGGCAGACCTGTGAAATAAATGAACCGGTTTCGTGTTTAATCCATAAATTCGTTTCAACTCGTTTAACCCGTTAACAGTTGTATTATAATTTTTTTTTTAAAAAGTTAGGTCTCTCAGCTTCTATCTCATCTCATACTTCTCATCTCTTAAACTCATTCAAATTTAGTAGTCATTTAATGTTTATTTTTGTCTTTATTTTTTTGCTCAGTCATGATTTATTATTATAATAAACATGTCAAATATGTGTAATGTGTAACAAATTGATAATTTTTTATGTGTACTCGAAGTAATTTAACATATTCTCTTATTAGCGGGTGACACATGAGTTATATCGGGTAACTCGTCTAATAAATGAATCGTATATGAATGTGATTGTTAAATTCATTTATATAAACGTATGAAATATAAATAAAAATTTTTTTAATATAAATTCATTTCATAAAATACGAAATCGTTCTGCTCGTTTGCCGGGCCAAATCGTGGCTATCAGTTGTCGGAGCCTTCTCTCATTTATTTTTTTGGTACATAAAGCTGTTGACAAAATTCGTGACTCAGCACACTTGGACAGGTGTCCTACTGTATGGGAGTGGTCTGACAATCAAAGAGTCCTAGAAAGAGAGAAAAGGACGTGGAGCAACAGTCCGATCAGAGAAGGAAAAAAAAAACTCAAAAAAAAAAAAATTATCATGTTTTGCTCGCATCCAAAAGAACTACCTCCGACAGAACTGTTTCCGATGGAAAAATAGAGTAAAATGTTACGGTCCGACGATCAATTCACTTTTCGGTTCAAGTTGAACACTTGATCTCATTGTCTCCGTGTACCAACTTGAGGAGAGATTAATCAAATCTAGGTAGATATACGGTGAGATCTAAAAAGATCTCTTTATATCGGATTGTACGAATAGACACAGACAATAGTAAACATGTATATTTATTTTTATCATATATAATTCTCACCCTATAAATAAGATTGAGTCATATGTAATCAATTACCTTCAATAATACATGAGTAAATTGTAAAATGATACACCAAATTAGATTTATTTAGTAAAAAATATACACTAAAAAATATAGGGTTATTAAATACTTAATTTTGATACTTATTTGTATTCACATACATAATTTGAATTTATCTATTTTTATTGTGACCTTTTTACCCTCCATTAATCCATGTATATTTAATGCACCACTTTTATGTATATTTAATGCACCACTTTTCAAATAAAAGTGGTGCATTAAACATCTCCTAGTTTTATGGGAGAATTTTAATATATATATATATATATACTTATGTATGTATGTATGTATATATTTGTTGTTAAATCTCTTATATAAATTTTGAATTATCTTTTAATAAACTTTGATTCATGCATTTTTTTTTTAGAAAGTGGTTTTATTGTCAAATTAATTTAATATCCGAATAATATAATAGTGTAACAATAACAGTGTACCAATAAAAATGTAACAATATAACAATAAAACTGTAACAGTGTAACACTATAACAATAATAGTGTAACAAGTTATTTACATAAAATATTGTACTATTACATTTTGTCAAACATATAATTCCATATAATTTCATTTAAAATAGTACATATCCGTTTTGAATTTATTACCATATATACAAAACTACTTAACATTGTTTTTGTTACAGTGTATTTGTTACACTGTCTTTATTACAGTGTTTTTGTTACACTGTTATTATTATACTATTACATTATTCGGATATTAAATTAATTTAAAAATAAAACTATTTTTCAAAAAATAAACAAACGCTTGAATCAAGGTGCATTAAATATAATTTGAAAACAAAATCACTTTTTAAAAAAAAATACGCATGAATCAAGGTGTATTAAAGATAATTCAAAATTTAAATAAGAGATTTAACAACAAATATATATATATATATATGTACTAACAAATACACATGAATTAAAGTATTTTAAATACGTATTTATATGTATTAACAAACACACATGAATCAAGGTGCATTAAAGATAAGAGATTTTGAATTAAATGACCCTAAAATGAGTATTTATGTCTTTTTAACTCACATTTTATTCTATATATTTTTTGTCAAATAAGTCTAATTAGGTGTACTGACTTTCAAAAAACCCATAATACATCGATCTATCTCATAAGACATTAGTTTCGTGGATGTAGACAATTTGCAGGCCAGCCCAATAGAAATGTCGATTAAGCAACTGCTTAGAGCCCCAAAAAAGAGAGCATCCAAACAATAAGTATAATCTTTAACTACAATTTAAATTGGGCCAAAAGTTTTGATTTAAAGAGTCCAATCTAATAAAAATTATTACGAGATATAGACTAAAATAAAGGCCCAATTCACTTCCCTCTCTCACTTTTTCGGACGGTGAAAAAACTTGAAAGTTCTAAAAAAAACAAAAATTAATCTTCCATAATTAAAGCCTAAAAGTCTACTCTTTCTCTCTCTCCAAGTAAAAAAAGTTCATATGACATAACGGTTATAATACACTAACCAAATTTTAGGACCAAATCAAGAGCCCAATTGACATGACACCTGATTTGGGTTTCTTTATGTGGTGCCATGTTATTTGGGCCTCAAAAAAGACTCAAAATAATCAGGTGTGATGTCATTTGGACTCTTGATTTAGTCTCAAAATTTGGTCAGCGTAACATTACTCATAGGATACTTATGTATCTCTCTCTTGCAACCTAGTTTAAATTGAAAAGGTACATATTTAGTTGATTAATTATTTATTTATTTTTAATATTTTTATTGATAGGATTAATTTAATGCAATTATTCTTTTTTACTGTGAAAGTTTGAAATAGTAGCTGATTTGGGAGGCGAACAAATCGTCAATTTAAAGCTTATACAATTTGTATTTATCCGGTGATATTGTGTTTAATTCTTATTGATTTTTATAAGATATTAGATTGTTCTCTTAGTATAATTCTTTGTTATTTTAAAATATATTTTATTCACAAGAATTTTTAGTTTGAAATATGTCAAGTTTTTTCAAAATTAAAAATCATAAAATATAATCATGAAGTATAATACAATAATTGTATCATTTATTTTGACATTCATGAAGAATAAAGGGATGGAATATGTATTGACCACTACCCAACTTCACATGTCGAGAAGGATGATTTTCAATTTCTAGAGGATTTTATTCCCTGGTTGATGTTCAACTCACTCATATTCTTTGCAATCAGGAAGCCGCCACCAACTCATCAACTTAATGAGACCATGGATATGGATTGTGGGAAGAATATCACCTTATTTAATTTGCGTCTCAAAAAATAAACAGTATCTAAAAATTATCTTTGAGAAGAATTTTAGATAAGTGTGTTTGTATATTTTTTGTGTCGCAGAACTTATTTGATTATATGATTCAAAAAGAAAACAATAAAACTTGTTTGGACAATAACTAAAAAAATAATGAAAACAAAAATGTGCTAGTGATAGTGGTGGTGGAAGTGTGGTAGCGATAGTGGTGATGGAAGTATCGTGGTGGTGAATTGGTGGAAGGGTGGTGGTGATGGTATTTTCAAAATTCTGAAAATGTGGTTTCTAAAAAATACAAAAAACAAGTCTAACTTGTTCTTTAAATCTACCCAATTTTTATACTCAGTTTTTAAAAAACAAAAATAAAAAAACCATTGCCCAAACAACCTTTCTCTCCGAAACTATTTCCAAAAACATAAAACAGTTTCTAAGATGCAAACTAAACATCACATATTTGTGCTTCTCATTTTGAGAATCAAATTAAAACATGTACTGTTTTGTTGCAAGCTTGGGTTGTCTATTGAGCTGCATTTGTAAATGAAATGGTTTTATTTGGACAAGTAAAACACAATCTGAATAAGAACAACTATGTGGAATCTAATAAAACATATCCATGGTACATAGCCTGTAAAGTAAGATCACTAACTTTATACTTCAACTCTAAGAATATAGGTAAACAAAAATTTGGGTGGGCCTTGAGACCTCTGTGTATCGTGTTCGTATTGATCGTATAGTTAACTTACAGAGTCCTCTTATGGTTCCAGTTAGAGGTGCACTGGCACAAAGAGCCTGTATCCAACCTCCAAAGCCA